TTTGTGTAATTCGAGGTTTCGGCATTCGGGTTTGTATTTTGTCGGGATTTCGAGTTTCGGTTATTCAGACCAAACCCTTCATATCAACTAATGAAAATTTCTGTAGCGAATAATTATAGTACTTACCTGAGCTCTATTAATAGTACCACCACGAATAATCATTTCTCCCTTCGGTGGAGCAATGAAAGCATTATGAACTCCAAAAACTTAACGCCAATTGCTATATTTTATCCTTATTTTTTTAATCGCAAATAATATTCAACATTTTGAGCAGATGATTTGACATTAACAGCAACGATTTTGCAACGCCACTGGCCATTCCATAAGGAGAACCTAATGGTTTTAATGGATGGTATTTTCACCTTTTTTCAATGCATCTGTCAAATATCTGTCAGCCAGCGAACAGCGATTTCCATCTTGTTTTGTGGTCTATATTATATTATTAATATTAAAAAATATTTAAATGTTTTACTCACATACTATAATTTACCAGGAATTTTCCTATTCCATTTTGTCTAACAACATTAAAATCGCCAAGTTTATATGAAATCATTTGCAATTTCATAATTATCGTCTGGATACTCTTGTACATGAATAGACCATTAAATCCAGGATACTTTTAAATTCTTCGTCAGTATTTTTACGAGCATTGTTTTCGATGGCCTTGAAAGCCTTTATAAAATAATTAGTATAAATTTAAATTTTTAATCAAAATATTAACAAAAGTAAGATGAATACATACCTTGTAATCCCAAATTTTGTCAACTATCGTAATCAGCCTTTTGACCTTGCCTAAATACATAAATATAATTAATTTAAGCCATACAATTTGAAATATTTTGCATAAACTAACAAAACATATTTCAATAATTTTTTTTAAAATACTACATCCTCACAGGAACCTTTATTAAATAATACTTTTGTAGGTTCGATAATGCTGGGCATTTTTTAATCTTATATTCGATATCCTATTTATAATAATTAGTTAGTCAAAGGATTTGATAATTTATTTGATTCCAAAGGAAAAGTACCTTTATATCAATAATTAGTGCATTCGGTGGACCAGCTTCTAATACCAAAATATTACCATTCGAAATATTATAAATCAGTTCGCTTGCTAATACACAGCTTCAACAATGATAAACTAATTATTTATAGACAAAATATAAAATTTAGTATCACATTACTTAAAAAAAAAAAATTGGGATGGATAAAGATTTGCGTATTCAGTAAATTAAAATTTTTACTCGCCAATCCTAATAAATAATAAAAGAGGCTATTATATATAATAAATATAGCCTTAATTATTAATTCTGCTTAGTTACCTAAAATATTTGATGATTATTTTATATCACTGCACTGTCGTCGTTCCACGTTCTCCATGAGTCATTTCAGCATTTTGGTATCCATTTTAACACTTTTCCAATTAATAAGGTTTAAAATATCAAAATATCTGTATTTAGAAAGCTTTTATTTTTATGAAGTATAATAGATCCAAGCTGTGGATTTTACTACTTTTTGAATATGAAATGTGGATTTAAGACTTTCTTTTTCTTAGGTGATGGAAAAGATTTGAATAATTTTTAAGGTTAGTCGAGTTGTACATGAATGTAATGCAATAATCGAATTATCGATATATTTCACTAAATTATTGACAACTGATTTGGTATCAAAATATTACAAGTTTTGCAAAGAAGCTTATTATGAGAGTCGAATTTTAAATTCAACTTTGATTTTACTATCGGAGAAATGGAATGTTTAGATTATATCAAGCCGAACAATTACCTTTTTATTATTTCGAGAATAGCATGAAATTATTTAATTTTAGATAACATTAGCAGTTTTTTATATATTATTCTACTTTTTAAAAAAACATTATGTTTAAAATCATGTAACATACAGTATTTATTGTAATTGAGTTTTTAGCGAGTCACGTTAACAAAAATTTGTAATATTTCGCTGTATATTTTATGAATATTGGCGATGTGTTATTTAAATTGATTAATGATTACTGTGCTCTGCAAATAAGTCTCAAAGGAAAAGAACTATTCTAATCTAATCCTATAGAAAATGCAATGCGAAAGGTCTTCTTTATCCTTCTTAGGGATTTGGCACAGATCCTCTTAAAAAAATCAATTAGGCCTGATGGCAGAACAAAATATGGTCGTCATATGGCGCAGCGATTTTCCCGAGTGACACTTGGCCGTTTGCGAGAGAGGATATTCTTGTACAATATTTATTGCATAACGTTGGTTATAAGACAAAAACAAATTGATGATAAAAACAATATATAGAATGTGGTATAGAAACTGCATCTTTTTTTTTAAACAAAAAATTAAAATGTTGAAAGTTGAAAATGAAACATCTAATCTACATTATTAACAATATTATTCATTAATTTAACCA